GTATGACAAATGTGGTTACGTAATGTATGTAAGAGGTTACAGTCTAAAGCAGGGAAAATGTAATATGTTAAATATATTCATGAGTCGAAGTTACAGAAATAAAAACATATTACAACTCCCGCAATAAATCAACGCAAAGAACAAATGAAACGTCTTGAAACAACACGGCTTTTAGAAACATTGTGGAATACGAAGTTCTCTATTGTTGCTTTAAACGTAATTAGTGAGCGTGAATGAATGAATTTGCCATCTATAATTACTTTACTTAATTAAATATGTAACTAGATTTAAAATTTGTCATCAATCTTTGTCTTTACAAATGTCCTAAACTAACTGCCGTAGTTAGTCATCTAATAGTTACTTAACCGGTTAGTGCAATGTAAAATATAACTTCACCAACGATTAAAAAAGAATCTACGTCAACAGGAAATAGCGTTTCAAAAACAGATACAAGTCAAGTCAACAGACAAAGTGCAACTTAAAAATTCTAAACGACCAGTTCCTAATGGAAATGTCGACTCAGCTCATCGAGATTTTCTATTCGACACCGGAGAGCTGCCGCTTAAATGGAAACCTCATCAACTAGCGGCCGAATGTATTGTTTCGTTCGTGATCTCCAAGCTTCGTACACAAACGAAAGACAGGCGTACGTGACGTTGCAATTTTTCGAATAAACCCCTTTGCATTTTGCATACAATCGATGTTTCTGATTGATTCTCACGTACGGTATAACAGATGTTTATCTATAGATAACTTAAAATCTAATAGTAAATAGATTGATAAAATTCAAGGTTCTATGATTCCGCATTTAATTCTGATTAGAACGATGCATTTGGTAATAATCCTTAATTAGCTTTCGCCCGCGACTGCGTTCGCATTGAATTAAAAAAAACAAAAGTGAGTAGCCTACATGTTTTTTGCTATTATTCTTCTACGATTATGCCAAATTTCATCGAGATCAGTTTAGCCGTTTAAGCTACAATCTCTAACTAAAATTCATCCATATAAACTTTCCCATTTATAATATTTGTAAGATAGTAAGAAGTAAGATTGTATAAAATGCAAGCAATAAACTCTGAATTATTATGCGTTCTTCGAAGAAGTCGAAGAATAAGTGTAATATCATTTGAAATACAGTAGGTAATACAGACGTTACAACAATTTCCAAGAACTTGATACTGCAGTGTATTAATTAATCAGAACGTTCTGTTCGACCTAAAACAAATAGCAGATCCGCTATATTCGATTCCGAACGGAAGCGCGCTACGGTTTTTTCGTTTTATTCTATAGCTGTATATCGGAGAAAGTAACGATTAATATTACAATTCAGGTTTCATATATCAAATATTTTAAATATTAAGTTAAGTTTAATTAAAAAAATAAGACCGAATCAATACAAGTTTGCATTTAGTTTTTATAAATTACAAATTTATCACAACCTTAAAAGTTAACTTAGAAAAATGTTAAGGAAATACAATAAATTCTAACACTACTTAACATTGAAATACGTTATTCAATAAGAAACCATTTACGTTTAACTTAGGTATTCAAAACATGTAAGAAGTTAGGCGATAAATTATCAGCCGAAACAAATGAACCAAGTTTTAACAAAGAGGTATTTGGGAATGGCTGAAGTTAATAAATTCAGTGTCGGCATCCTAATGATAAAATGTTGAGAAGACGTTTGTTTTCACGTTGAAAGGTTAATTGCCTTATATGTCCAATTAGTTTAAACACAGTTTTAATGTATATTAATGCACATATTTCGAAAAAGCGTCGGTGGCTCAGTGGTTTAAGCACTTGACATGTAATGTACAGATCTTGGGTTCGAACCCTGCCATGTGCTAATGTGATTTTCGATTTTTCGAATTTTCATACGTAAATAATTTACCCGACGTTCTTACGGTGAAGGAAAACATCGCGCAACCTGCACATATCGGCGAAGAAATTCAAAAATATGTGTGAAATCAACCAACCCATACTGGGCCAGTGTGGTTGACTATGGCCTAGTCACTCCTTATTAGGGTAGGCTCCGAGCCCCTGATGATGACATATTTCGTAGATATAAAAATATAGGTAGTTGTTGTAGAGTATTATTCATCTTTAAAGGGTATTTGCGTTGTTGCATACTTCTCTGAATAAGAAACCAAAAGTGTGTCTGACTGCGCTTTTTGGAATTAATTTGGATGTTTAACATGTGCTTTAGTATAATATTTAGACGTAACCTTTGCTTGATAACGCTATTTTCATGAATTTGTAATTTTCTTTTTCATACTTTGGAGTTTACAATATTTTTCCAGATTATATAGATTTAAGATCATATCTATTTATGTAAATCAAAAAACTTTCCTAATTAAAAAACAAAATATCTTAGCAACATCTTAATAAGAAATGGGTCGACTGAAAGATGTCATACTTGACGAACGCCGCGAGAATCGCGTCCATTTTTAATTAAGTTTCTTATTTCCATTTCGACAGGACCGGCGTCCGTAAATATAACGTAATGTTGATCCAGATTGGTCTCCAGCAATACAACCAGACCAGGTGTACTTTATTACGCACGTACTAAATTACATTCGAATTTTTTTTTATTCATCCTAAACTCATTTGTTTATTTTATTACAATTTCAAACATTTTTAAACGGAGATTTATGTTGCCAAATGTCTTAATGCTTATTAATTATTTTAAAACTTACATTACGAAATACGCAAAAAAAAAACTAAAGGATAAATTTGACTTGGTGCAAAGGGTTGTTGTAATACAAAATTTAAATCAGCTATCCAACGTAACAGGACTGCTCTTAAAGAAATAATGCCACAAACCCTGTTTATCTGTCGACACCCGGAAATTGGCGAAAATTTTTTATGTTACGATTTTATGAAAGTACATTTATTAGAAAGAAATTAAGTTGCACGTTATATTAATTTTATATATTATATTAAACAAAAAGTTACCGCAATAAAACAACATATCCTGAAACACAATCGATAAATTAATCTTTGATAACAGTTGTTTATTATTTTTCTTTTGTTTCCATAATTTTTTGTGTAAAGAGGATTCTAATTCTATAGTGAAATTCTATTCTTCATTTTAAGATAAAGAAGGGTCGCAAAAAAGATAAATAAAGGAGGATAATAAAGAAGTCTTAAACAAGTTCAAAGTCGTTAAACAAAGAAACTTGTTAACAAAAGTGATAAACAGAATTGGTATCCGATAAAGAGCTTGTTTACGACACTACTTCGATCTGGGTGGTCTATCATGAATATTTGCGTAATAGTTCATAACGTCGTCGACAAAAGTATGAGATTTTTGTTGTACTTTACACTCGGGAGTGTGCTGCACAAATGTAATCCAAAATTTATAGATGACGTTACGAAAAAGTTCTCACGAATATTCTTGATAAGTCCGTAAATGTAGATGCTTATCTACGAAACATGTTATTTTCTACGCCGATTCATAATTATACTCATGCAAAATTACCTCCTTATATAGATAATTATAATGCAATTTCGCCTTTTTTTTTATCAGTAGCAATGCCAATGGTCACTTTGCATAAAATAACTGCTGTGAAAATAGCGTATTGACAGGGCTCAATGATTTAATATGTTCATGTAATTACTACTGCATACTTTTTCATGTTACGGTAATTCAACAAGGTAAAGTGGTAGTTACTAAATGTCCTATCGTTCCCACATTGCGGTTACTAAAACCTACTGAAGCTTGACCTTTAGGAAAGAAATACTCTTAAGAAATCAACGCATATTTTCTTTTTATATTTACGTGATTATGAGCGGTGGCACACAATTTTGAGAAAATATAGTAAACGTGACTGTAAATTGTACAATTAGAAAAAAAATGTTATAATTACGCTGGATGTTAGTAATACTTTCGATTGTTTAATAATCTTAAAATTATGAATAATTAGCTTTTACCCGCGACTCCGTCCGCGAGGAATTAAAAGATAACAATATAGAAATGAAAAAATATAGCCTATGTTACCTCACAGATAAATTACCTTTCGAACGGTGTAAAAATTTTTAAAATCGGCCCAGTTGTTTTTGAGCCTAATCATTACAATCAAACAAACAAAGTTTTCCTCTATATAATATTAGTATAGAGATAGTGACAAGAGGATTTTTGTTGCTTAAAAATATACGTAGTATTTTTGGAAGTCACTCTACCACCGATAATAGACCACATTAAACCGGATACCTACGTATGTATGTTTTGTATACCTAAGCTAAAAAGGTATATCATAGTGTATATATGAGCTTGTTGCAGACATCAATAGCTAATCTGGCATGGCCCGCAGCGCCCCAGCATTAATTAACCTATTAACGTCGACAAGTTTTCGAGCAAACGCTAACCGTTTGCGTTGAATTTTGGGAACTTAAGTCATTATAAACAATATGTTTACTCAGAACTAAAAGCAATGTAAGCGACTGCTGATGCCTTTTAAATAAACAGCTCCAACTTTGCCGGTATTTACGTGATTCAGAAAGACTCTTGTTTTAAGATCTTATGATTTTAACGTTTAATTACAACGTTATAACATCCCTTTGTTTGAGAAAGTAACGTCCGTGTCTTGTTATCTCTACTATCAACAAAAATTAACAATACACTATTAGAGTTAAATTGAGAGTACACATGGGTAACCTGTAAATACAATTTTATCTAAAAACTAGCTATTCCCGTGCGACTTCATGAGCATAAAATTATAAAAACTTTATTTTATTGTTTTTGTCAAATTCTTAATTACAAATGTTAAAATTACCGTTACCATAATAACCTTACTTCACTTACACATGAAAGTTTTTTTCCAATTTCTTTACCCCCTGAGTTTAATAGCTTAAATACGAGTATATAGACTAAAGCGTGTCGTAAGTGTAGAGATTTTTATTAAATAGTAATTATTCAAAAACATGCTCTGATTGCTGACATCCTACACAACAAAGTAGTGTGTGTTTAAGCTTTATTGCATTAGTATAGATGTACTCACTGAGAGCGATGTTAGCCTGCTTGTTGCGGTCGAGCTGCCCTCGGAGCGCGCGCAGTCGCCGCAGCTTCTGCTCCTGCGCTTCCACGCGCTCCCGCAGCCTGCGCAGTCGCTCGCCTTCCACCGCAACCTAACACATAATATACTTGTTTATTATTTTGGAGTCGATTAATACAGCATTTTTTTACATTAGGTCTGATATGATGATACTAGTTTTCACCCGCAAATCCGTTCGCGTGGAATTAATAAATCAAATTTAATCAAAATTCGTTCAGACGTTTAGATTACAAGTTCTAACAAACACCTATCAATTCATCCATCTAAAATTTTATATTCAATTCAGATTTATACACGAAAGAATTTAATTGTTTTACATCCATTTGTGAATTAATTCAAAACATAAAACAGACCCTCAAAAATATGCACATTGCACCTAAGACCAAAGAGCAGGATACGAATACTATGGAAAAATAGAAATACGTAAATAGGAAAGGGAAATTGTCTAGTAACCAATTTTTGAACGACAGTCGACGAGGCGGTGGCGCGCTTTGTGGGCGTTTTCATGGCTCGTTTATAGAATACCCGTGTTAAAGAGTTGACGGTAACATGAGGGGAAGCAAATTGTGCATACTGAATATCCCATTACTTTGTACATTACTGAAACATTCAACACTTTTCGTTTCAAACTGCAAAGGGTGAATCGTATTAGGAAAAGATGAAAAAGATTGTAATATTTTCAGTATAAGTTACAGACGATACCTAGAAGTCATTGCTATCTTACTTCTTACTAATATTATGAATACAAAAGTTTAGATGGACGTTTGTTACCACGTATCTTCAAAACAGCTGAATGGATAAAAAACAAAATCTGGAAGAATGCATATAAGATAGATACATTATTTGTTTCGATTCCATGCGGTCGTAGTCGGGATCAAAAGCTGTTTTAAATTTTAATTAAGGATTGTCATTTTAAGTTATTGCAAATTTATAATCAAGTAAAATATAATATTTTGTCCCGAAAATCACTTTCATCCATTCAAATGTCATAATGATTTAGATTTCAATTTGTATTAAAGTCAAGCAGTGTTTATTTATTTTATAGGCTTATTTACTGCGTGAGAAGAGTTTATTTCTTTTAGTAGGGGCGATAAATATCGCATTAGGCTAACGCAAACCCGGGCCTCGGCTAAGAGATTTATTAACACCGGGTACGAAAATTTAATTTTTCGACCTTATCTCTTCGAAATTTATCCAAATAATTCCGGGATGATTTCTATGGCAAAGTTGTTTGTAGGATTTGAAAATTAAATCACGAGTTTGTTTATTTTAAACAAAATTTTCATTTATAGCTGAAATATATTTCAAATAATATATTCCAAAGGAAGTCTAAACATATAAACGATTAAAAGGTAAACCTTATAATTTAAAATATTACGTAAAGACTAATAGCCTGCTGGGGCTTGTTAGTTTTGGCATAAAGTATAGAAAAAGTAATATAATTTCACTGCATTGAAGCTGAGCCTTCGACGGTTGACGTCACGGCTTAGTTCGTAGGCGAGGCGCTTCGTTGGCGTTAATTAATCCAAATTAAATGTATTGCAGACAGCGGTAAGGTCGCGTGCATATTAGATATACAGTTCTCTTTCTATTTAACACTACCTGTCGTAGAATACAGCCTACGTTACTGACTGATAATGTAGATTATGAATAATCAAATAATTTTTGAAATCTGACCAGTAGTGTTCGAGTTATTTCAATAAATACGAAAATAGATTAAACTCATATAGTATCTTTGTAGTGGATGCTTCTATAAACTGAAAACTTCATTCGAAAATCTAGCCTTTGATTGGAATCGACTTGTAAATACCTTTTATGTAGAGGATGTATACAGATTTGCAATCTCCCAATTCAAATAAGGAATTCACACGTTTCACACTAAAGAGAGCAAAGCTTTGATACCAGACCGTTTCAAAGATTTGTAATGTACACAAGCCCGCATTGAACCCGCAAAGAGAGATCGAGCGCTGCAAAAACCGTCTTTAAAGTACGATACAGTTTAAACGTACATAAAAGGACGATTGTAGATAAAGTATTTTCACTATTAATGAAAGAAAGCATTAAAGTCACTGAATCTGAAAGTGGTCTCCCTGAGATTTATTATGAGCAACCTACACTTAGCGTTTAATTTACTATTTTGAGTGCCCGCAAAACAATAAATGAACGTTGCGTATACTCGTAGAGTGATTAAATTATTTTTCACTTTTACAAGCAATGGAAATTATGTGGAGTGCTTACATTATAGTACACAGTTACGTTTAGCCCCTATATAAAATGTTATTTTTTAGTGAATTAAATAAAAAAAAATATGATTATTATGTAAGAAGAATTTTAGGTAACCTAGTAAGAGATGGATGGACTGCATGCTCTCATGCATACCCTCTTCCCTCTTCCCACAGAGGTGTATGATTAAGAAGGGAGTGACTAAGATGTCGCATGATAGATTAACCTTGAGGACAAAACCCGGTGTGCCGACCTTAGGGGAGTAGGATAAGAAAAGGAAGATTAGTTCAATTTCATTTCTAATGGTTTCTCTGGAGATTTTTGGGTCTAATGATACGATATAATTATGTTAAAATTCTTATGCTCTACATATTTCAATGTTATAAAAATCAACTTGATATGATGTATATTTATGTATGAAATATTGTAAGACGTCGGGTGATATGTTTTCATTACCGCGCCCATGTACGCTTTATCCGAACAAATGGTGTGGGTTGTTTCCACTTAGCTTTGCAATAAGACTCGTGTGTAATGTATGCTCGTACTGCCAAATCATGTTCTACCCACGCTGCTCTGGGCCCGTTGTAATTTGCCTTTACTGTACTGTACTGATTGTGGTTTACATACCACGATCTCTTTGTACTCGCTTTAGCGTAGATGTAACGAATGAAATATTGTACAAAATTGCCGTACCGACACTCTTGTTGATTTTGACTAAGCTTTAATAGTAAAATAACAGTAAGAATTCAATTAGCTAATTTAGACTCTTAAAGAGATTTTTAATAATATATTCTTTAATGGGTCAACATTACATTTACAAAATAGTAGAAAATGTGACATAATTATTAACAAAAATATAACATTACTACGTATACACAATACAAAAAAAATAAGTAAGTGTAGATTCTTCTAAAATATTCAAAGTTTTGAATATTTTAATTTTAACTTAAAGATTCAATTAAGAAGAGAAACGAATTAATTAACTCAATTCAAAGTTCATGAACTCTGGTGTACAAGAAATCAGCTCGCGTTATAAAGATTAAGTCTTTTCCTATTTAATTATATTAAATACTAAATGAAAATGTAAATGAAAATGTATTTATTGCCACAAAATAGAAATTACATAAAAATACTTATTCCAAAGGAAACACATTCGTGGCAAAAGGTAGCCAGCTCAGCGTATGCAGGACGGACTAAGCCGTTCCTGCGCTGATTTTTAGCTGGCTCCTTCGCACTCAAGTAACATATATCTTAATCATTAGGGTAACCGGCCGTACTAATTACATAACTATACAGAAATAAAAATAAAATAAAAAATACACTTTTAAAAAGAAAAAAAATCACATGAAACAAAAATGGGACATCATAAAGAAAAAAAAAATATATTGATTAATGGAAAGAAACAAAAACAATCATACTAAATTAAAAGGCGGATGAACATACTAGCTGTTCCTGTGCCGTTTCATCCGCATGAAATTATTAAAACTTTATTTTATTGTTTACATTTATCAGTAGTAGCTAGGAATAGATTATTGTCTGGAATAAAATATGCAATACGTATTGACAATGCCCATTGTTATAAACTCTGGCGACGGACCAACAGATCGACACAATAATTGCTGAATACAAAACACGGAGTAATTTGGCTTGCTAACTAGTAAACAAATTAATTATTGTGTTTTTAGTGCGAATTAAAACACAATTAGTTAATTCATAGATTAGATTTACAGATTATAAAATTTAAAACCATTATCTAATATTATTTTTGAATAGAATTTGTATTCAACTTAAGTTAGATAAACCATGTTAAGTTTAACAAAGTTACATTAATGTCAGCGTTAGTTTAAAACATTTTATTAGTTTTGTTCAACAGACATAAAAGGACAATCGACATCTTCTCTAACAAATGGCCAACATTTAAAAAATATCTACGAGAGGCTATCGCTTAAATTTAATTCAAATTTTACATTTTGGGTTCAATAAAAAATAGGTAAAAACATATTCTGTCTACTGTTGTTGTTGTTATTTTTCCATGTATGTCGTGTAAACCTATAATTAGGACAAATTATCTGCATGTTACTTATTGCATTATGTAAAAATGTATCTGTCATAATTTTGTCCTGTTGGTTTATCTTAATAAATAAAAAAATAAACAGTAAATAAGTTTAGTATAACCGGAACTTTGTCTATTATAAAATATATTCAACTTCTTTGAAACTCTGCGCTTCTTCTTCTTCTTCTTTGAAAACCTGTGACTTATTTATAAATGAAACATTTTATTAAAGGTAAAAGTATATCCTTACATGTTTCACGTAGAATGTCTCGGATAAATCTTTTAGTGCTCGTTAAAGTCTTAAACTGTCGGCTTTAAAAGCATCTTTGCAATAAGTATCTCGAGACCGTTATTAAATTCCCAATCGGACGGGACAGAAGTGGGTCGTGGCCAAAGGATTATTTACAAAGTCATATTTAGACTTTAATTAGTTGCTTACGTATTAATGCACAGTCTTGGAATATCAAATACAATTTTATATCAAAGCAAATGATAAAGTGAAACAGCTTAATATTTCTTTAATGCCGAAGATTTTTAAATTTTCAACCCATTCCGGGTTAAAGACGGATTTAGATGAACTAAACTACTTTATTATAAAGTCATCAAGTTACATTTCTGAGGTCGATGAAAGTATACTATATGCATACATTTAACTGTAAGTGAAAACAGATTTTTTTTTAAATAATTGTATTTTAGAAATTTAACAAGTAGTTAAATGTTAATCCGAACCCTTTGCAGATAAAATCTGTATAACATTAAAGCTTTTAAGATTTACCCTAACATCCAAATGAATTTATCCAATCTAATCTGTCGTTAATGCGAGATTTATATAGACGTTAATTGCATTGACTTGTGTAGCAAGTGACAGCTGCAGTAAAGGTTTTTACAAAACAGTGGCGCTCGGATCTGGTTGATTCATTCAATTTATCAACTGAGAAGGAAATAAAATATTTGTAATCTTCCAAACATACAGAGCACAATACGAGATGCGTATGTTAAGATGGATGTGTGGTGTGACAAGAATGGATGAAGTAAAGAATGTGTACATTAGAGGAAGTTTGAAAGTAGCGCCAGTGGTGGAGAAATTGAGAAGCAAAAGGTTAGCGTGGTATCCACATGTTATGCGACGAAACGATGGGGACATAAACCAGAAAGTGTTAAGATTGAATGTGGATGGCTACAAAGGAAGAGGAAGACGAGTGGGAAGTACAAAGGAAAAGGAGTGGATTCAGATATGACGGCTGACAGAGATGTATGGAAGAGCAGCACATACTGTGCCGACCCTCCGTAAGGGATAAGGGCAAGTGGATGATGATACAACGAACAATATGACATAACAACTGTATGATTGTATACTTGAAAACTGGATATAATGCTTTCATGATCCTGTTGCTAGCGATGCTATTTAAAAGTTTTTTTTTTGTATAGGGACAGTGGTTTTTTTTAAGTATAATCTAGCGCTTGACCACGATCCCATCTCAATTTAAGTGGTAATATAATCGAAGGATGGTTCGCGCTAATTTAATATGTATCCATTCACCCTTCGTAGATGGAGCGAGCGGTATAATATACTGCCATAGTTGTACTATTTCTGTCATAATACCTGATGCTGCCGTGCCTCCTGTTGCTTGAGGTACCTCAGGCGCTGCTCCTTGGCGCAGAGCAGCTGATGCTGCGTGTCGATCTGCTGCTGCTGTCGGAGCGCCATCGCGCGCAGTTCACCCAGCGTCAGCTCCACCCCTTCCCCCAGCTGTGGACAGTAAAATAAGACTATCACAAATGTTTGCAGTATGGACTATTAGTTAAACGCATCTGAATGAAATTTGGCCTAGAATATCGTCTGGAAGAACACATAGGCTACTTACTTTTATTTTTTTTTTAATTCCACGCGAACGGAGTCGCAAGCAAAAGCTAGTGACTGCATGTTAATGCAGTGCACCTTTCCAATTTTAACATATATATGTACAAAAGAATGTTATTACGCTTTATTTAATAATATCGTTAACGTCAATTTTGACGTTGCAATTAAATTCTTAATTTTATAAATTATGTATAATAAAACATAATAAAAATTTTAATTTTATAACGCCTGCTTTATGATCATTCTGCATAAAATATGTAAAACCGTTCTCGCTTTATTATTTCAAGCAATTTTTCGTATGTCTGTATTAATATTAATTTGGACTTTTAGTAGTTTTACTTGGTAAGTTTTTTAATTTGCATATGTAAGAGTAGTTATTGATTTAGTAAAAACACTACGTTTATACATATAAGTGTTTAAATAAATCACACCTATCGTTTGTAGAGGTTCCCTACAGTAATGGCATATCAAAAGTTAAAGGGAACACTTCATAATACCAACAAATGATATGTAAAAAGCTTTTCCCGAGGACTTTATCGGAACATTATTATCGTAGAAAACAGATTGTCGAGTCACCTCAATATTGTCAAAAGAAAAACTTTTACAATTTTTCTCCCGACGTAGGCTTACTCAATTGAAACTTTTCCCTTGTAGGGATAAGCAAAGATATATGAAATTGGGGATTCGGGAATAGCTGTACTTGACAAATATGTGTTAAATTGCTAACTTATTAGAGCTCACAGAAAAGAAAGGACACGAAGATAATTAATATATTAATTTTATTAGAGTGTGCATCAATTTTCTCTTATAAGGATTTACGTTGACTAACTTTCTAACTAGCCAGGATTCATAAAATCTGACCGTCTTAATTTTTTTTTTATCCATTTAACAAAATGCGATCAAAGCGACTTATTGCAGTTAATTAGCTCCCTTTAGCATAAATCCGGAGTACAGCTTACGGCACCCACGGGACAGTTCCGTTACGTTCCGAGTGCTTCGCGCGTGGGAGACGACTGAGACTTTTTTAGTATTGCTTGTCACAGAGTTTCTATTTTTGGATAACGACCTGACAAGTGAGTCACTATATTTTTGCAATTGTTAATATGATGAATTCGTTTGATAAAATTCTTTATTCCACTTATAGTAAACTTTAAACAATACAGATGTTACGTTGACGTACATTTGTTATGGTAATTATTAAAATTTGAAAAACATTAGTAACGCCTATATAAAATGGATGATTGTTCTGAAATATGTAAGCGTAATAAAAACAAAACATTGAATTTTTTGAATCAAAAATATTTTTATAAATTGACATACCAATAGACAGGCTCACATTACGCATAGAATTTCATGGCGTTTAATTCGTGACCAATTTATTCCTCACATTTGCATAAAATTGTCTTCGTACGTTAAAGTTAAAGTATGTAATTACGGCCACGGCTTTAGAATAACTCTTTGTAAACAACTAGTCCGCAATTCTGTTGAGGCTTAGTGTTAGAAGCCAAAAATATGAGTGTCCCGCTGAGATAACTGTGGCCAGAAGTTAAGGCAGTGGCTTACGTCCATCGCCGGGCTTTGATATTGCATTGCGGATTCTGATTGTTTGAAACTCCTTCCATAATTCAGTGGGATCTCCATTATGTTGCCTCATTTTGCTTGTATTCACTTGATAGGTTTAAATGTAACTTGTATGAAATTCAAAAGCTGATAAAGTCCAAGATCTAATTTACGTGATCGTAAAAGTATTAATACGGTTTTTGAAGATAAATAAGAAAGAAGAAAATTTATCTAAATATATATGATCAACATCAAAAAGAATTGCTATAAATAACATTCGAAAAAAGGGACATTCAATTCGATATCACACCTCGAAGGCACGTCACGATGTCAACAAATGGAATGTCTTATTTCACGTGGCCGAATAAAATTCCCGCTTTCGGACCTTTTCGTCGCGGCGTATCGGCGGAATTAAAGCCGTCTGCGGTCAAGATTTATAGGCACTGCCACTTGTTGATAGCGCTGCCATTCCTGATGTATTGCCAAAAAAATATCGTACGACCTCATACTGGCCTAGAATTTTTATCGATAAAAAATATAACATATGAGGTTTTATAAATTCTACTTTTCAGACCAAAAAATACTTTAAAATGGGAATGCTAAACATTTTAATTAAAATAATTAAATCATGTTTAACATCGGATAATGTCTGTAATGAAATTCCCTAATGGTCTGTGAAAGTGAAGCCTCAACTAAATCGTAAAACAAAGGGCGATCAGAACATAAAGTAGATTTATGTTCTTCACGTGGTGTGGATGTTTCGTGGTCAAGTAATAGTGAGTTTACAGATTTATAGATAAAGCAGAGATATTTTAATAAACAAGATTGTTACATACTTATGACTTCTGAAATATAACATAACAGACTAGAAATCCAGCAAACGGTGCTAGCAAAAATGTTATTTTCATAAGAAATAATATAATAATAAGGAACTTATTTTAATTGAATATTACTTTTCACTTCTTCAAGTTTAAATTGCGCATTACTTTCAGTCAAGGCTTAGTTCCCTGAAAGTTAAATTCGATGGTCAATTCGAGCGTCGCGGTTACCTTTATTGCTTTATAAGTTTTTTCCACGGAAATATTTCTTTGAGTTCGAGTAAGCCTTGTTCGCTATTCATATATTCGTTGCATAATATAAGAAATGAAGTCGAGCATAAAGGCTTTGAATTATTTATGCTACGGTTTATGCATTGAACTAAATAAACGTTTGCATGTAAAACGAAATCATATTGTCAAATCAATTTAATCGGTTAAATTTAATCGATTTACTTTTGTCTGTCTATAGGGAGCAAAAATTTGTACTTAATCTTTTTCGAGTAAAGTATTAAGTGAACGTAACTTTGCAGTTATGTGGATGAAAACCTCAAAATTAGTTCGCGCTAAAAGATTTTTTCGCTGCAAAAACATCTGAAAACTTTCAAATATGAAGAGGCAATGTTGCTCAAAAATGATTTGTCCCCAACGCAATCAAACATAGTTCAAAGTAGAACACGGAGTAACTCATTTAAGTTTCTCAGGGAGTTAGTAGTATGCCTAGTGGCGTAGTGCCATATGTTCGCCATAGTTCTACAACTGGTAACCATTTTGCTCGAGCAAGGGGCGCCTCAAAGGCAAGCTTTAGCAAATTAATTGCTCGCTGGAAGTAAATTTATTTCAATATTATGCATTATTAAATATTGTCAGCAGCATTTTAAGTGTCTCTCAGTAGACTTCGGTTTTTAATCTTCTTAAATAAATATTAATTAAGTTTTGCTATTCACTGTCTATCGATTTTGCAATTATTGTTCCAGAGTTTGTGTTTGATAAGATTGAATATTTATCTGAGGCATTTAAGCTGTCAAATTTAATTACTATTAAAATATAAAAATACTAGTCTTTAAAAGGCCATATATCGTTAATATTCAAAGTGCTCCAAACCTTATAAAGTAAATAAATTACGGAGTAGATGAATGAACATTTAATTAACGATTAATACGTTATAAGAGTTAATCAAGGCGTTAATTCAAGGTAGAATTTAATAAAACCAACACGAGCCCTGTGAGTGCTGCTATAAAAACACCATTTCGAAAGTAATTAAAGCTATTCAGAGTACGAGAGCTTAACAAAGGAGGCAAAGAGCCGTCTACAAGGCGATGAATAAAACATGTTACTGTGTGAACTCACCCTTACGACGGAAAACGCGACCGTGTCATGTGAGGTCGCTACCGCTATGCTTCGTGTATAATTGTGAATATTGAAAAAGAATTTTATACTATTTCATATCAATTAAAGGATTTAAAAATATCAATAGCATGAAGTAATTTTGAATGAAGTAGATACGTTAAGAAGAAGATACGCATAGAATGAAGTAGTTCTGAATACGACACCAGAAATCAGAAATGAAAAACGTTTGTAAGTACGACACGACACACATGACTAATTCAAAGTAACTATGTCGTTTAATTTAAAAGAAAAATAAATATAAAAGCGCGAACACGCTTATGACTAAACTATCGCACAACTGTTCAGTGGCGCGTTGATTCCTATGAGCTAACATGGACGTGTGCATACTACTAGATTTTTAGTTGTGCAAGTAATCGACTATCTCAAAACGGTTGTGCGATAGTTTAGTCAAAGGTACCCACTAACTACAGCAACTAAAGATTCTCAAATGTTTAGTATTAAAAAGTGTGTTAATTATTTGTACTGAGTGGCACATGGGTATGATACATACGTTCGATTTGCTTTATGTCGTTATAGCAATTATCTTACAACTAAATTGCTCCATAGATGTGACAAGTCATCAACTTGTTAATAACTTAATAACGGATATTAAGCCGTATTAACTGTCACTCAAATTGTATAGTGAGATAATTGAAATCATATTTCGATTATGCCACAAGAATTTCATTATGATTTACCGTATATTAAGAAATGTGATATCTTAAACAGATATCACAGAAAATGATATCTTTTGAACCCTCATCCTTCAAAACAACATTTAAATTTCAAACAAATTGATATTGTACTTGTCTCAGTAAATAAACTTTATGATGTTACAAACATCACAGATAAAGTAGCTATCTATTTTTGATGGTTTCTCCTGTCATTTTAGTTATATTTCCTTAGCAATTCATCCTTTGATCTTTTAAGTATTATAAAAGCGTTACAAAGTTACATTTATTATCTAGCTTTTGCCCGCGACTCCATCCGCGTAGAATTAAAAAAATATTAAGTAGCCTATGTGTTCTTCCAGACTATCCTCTAAAACTATGGCAAATGTCATCGAGATCCATACACCGTTTAGGCTACAAACTCTAACAAACATCCATCCATCCACCTAAACTT